CTGTTAGAGAGGTAAAACTCATTCATTTTATTTGCTTCAGGATGGTTTCTAGTTTGGATGTATCATGATTATTTAGCTATTCCTCTTTGATATTATTTTTTTTTCTTTTTTTTTTGAGAGATTTTCACAGTAGGGCGCGTGCACTCGCCAGACAGACAGAGAGAGACATAGAGACAGAAAGCGAGAAATCACCCCCCAGGGGGGATGGTCACGCCGCAATCCCTTCTCCTCCATTCTCCTCTCGGGATCTTGGGCACGCACGCACACGCGCCCGGCGTGAGTTTTAAGCCACCGGGTCCGGGACACGAACCGCGGTCGACTACGTGGGAGTCCAGCGACATAGCCATTACACTAACTGCTGGTTCCCCCTCTTTGATATTATTTAGATTTCTAGTTTCCTCTGTTCAAAACTTATATTCTTATCTCTATGAAACTACTCAAGTGATCCAAAATAGGTATGCCTAAAATAGATGCTGAGAAGAGGAATTACTGTATCAAACCACTTTGAAAGTTTTGATGTATACTTTCCATCTACATGGTGAAGATTTCTAGGTGGATATTTCTCACTCAGACCTTTCTCCTGAATTTTGGACCTGCATATCCAGTTGCTTTTACAGTATCTCTGAAGGGCCAACTCAGAAGCCCAAATTGAAGCCAGAACTTCCCTTTTAAATTTGTTCTCCTCTAGCCTTCTCATCTTAGCTTACTAATTGCTCAAGTCAAATACTGGGGAATCCTCCCTCATTCCCACCTCTTCTGAATTTGGCCACATCTGAACCCCAACCCTGTTAGCACTCTTTTGTTTCATTACAGTTTCATTCTATTCAGGCTTGAATTCCACATTCTTCTAATAGTCTTCCAAACAGTAAAAGCTTAATAAATGTTTGTTGAATAAATGTAATCACCTTCTAAAATACTAAAGCTGTGGTAGTATGTCATAGGATTATTTTTAGGGTTAAAAACTGTTCATGTAAGTACGGCTCTTTAAGCCTGTGCAGCATATAATGAACTCCCCCAAACGGCTTGCTATTAAAATCTGTTTATATGCCGAATTGAAATATTAAGCTTTCCTATACACTTCATGATATAGTAGTATACATACTTATCTTCCAAATATTTGTAAATCTGAAAGTTTTAAAAATTCCTCATAGGGAACCAGCAGTTAGCATAATGGTTATGTCGCTGGACTCCCACGTGGTCGACCGCGGTTCGCATCCCAGTGGTGGCTTAGAACTCACACCGGCGCGTGTGCGTGCGTGCCCAAGATCCTGAGAGGAGAATGGAGGAGAAGGGATTGTGGCATGACCATCCCCCCTGGGGGGTGATTTCTCGCTTTCTGTCTCTATGTCTCTCTCTGTCTGGCAAGTGCACGTGCCCTATAGTGAAAACCTCTCAAAAAAAAATTAAAATTAAAAAAAAAAAATTCCTCATATAGTTCAATTTTTGGTAATTATATGAGTTATAGTGTGTTTTCATGTTTTATTGGTTATTTAGATCTCTTTTTTGTTAATTGGTAGTTTATACTTGTATTTTTCCTCATTAAGTTTTATTATAATTTTTTTTCATATCTTTTAGAATCCTGGTTTTGACTTCAGTGGAGCAGAAATCTCAGGAAACTACACTAAAGGTGGACCAGATTTCTCAAACCTTGAGAAATAACTGCTGTTTTTGTTTTTTGTTTTTTGTTTTTTGTTTTTTTCTGCATTTCTTGGATTCTAGCAGAAGTTGCCAGCTTAATCAAAGGAACAGATATGTGGTAGAAGAAAATGTGGATGCCTTTAGTTAACAAATTGCAGAATATATTTAAGTGTGGTTCTAAAAATTGTATTCAAATATGATTTACATAGGAAACATACTATGGGGACTATTCTCTGGATATATGGTGACCTTTTTTTGGACTTATTTTTGCTCAGCATGAAGTTTTATATGCTGCAGTTTACTAATTTCATATTTAACCGTATTTTTAATACAAAAAAAATTAGAGTGTAGATCATGTGGAATGAAAGGGTGCCTTCAGGAAAAAATAAGTTTTTCTTTTGATAAGTGTATTGTGGGAATAATGTTCAATAAACTTTTCTAAATAGCAATCATGTACCCCTTTATCTATACCAATGTGCACAAAGAAGTTACAATGACAAAATTTTTACGAAAGGAAAATTCCACAAAGGTATTTTGACTAATTCAATTTTAAGAGTTAATACAAATTTTGTAATTGTTATATTATTCCTTTAGGAATTTTTTTATGTCAGGAAATTGAAAAATATTTAAAAACCTAAAAATTAGGAGTAAATTAATATACAAGAAAAGCAGCTAAGTGAATATAGTTATTGAGTGAGCTCTTGTTAGCAGCAGAAGGCAAACTAAGATCACTGATTTCGGTGGTATCATTTTGAACAGACATGGGTCAGAATTTATTGAAATTTTATTTTATCTTTTCTTTGTCCTTTTTAATTCATAAAAGTTTTAAATAATCTGAAATGCATAGAAAAGATAAAGTACACAGAATTTTGTTCTTTCCAAATCATTTGTGAATAAAGATACCGATACCTATCACCTAAGAACTTTAATTTATATTTGCTTCAAAGAAGGACATTCTCTTTCATAATTACAATGCAACCATTAAAATCAGAAAGTTTATATTGATACATTATTCCCATTTGAATCATAGAACTTCATATCTTTCAGGTTGAATTGATTGTCTCAGTGATGTTCTTTAGAGCAAGAGGATTAAGTCAAAATCATGCCTTGCCTTTGGAGGTTAGGTTTCCTCATTCTACCTCAGTCTGGAACAAATTCTCACTTTTACTTTCATAATCTTGGCACTTTTGAAGGTTGGAGGTAGTTTGGTAGACATCTCTTATTTTGTTGATTTTTTTTTTTTTTTTTTTTTAGTATTTCTTCATGATTAAACTCACAATGTACCTTTAGCAGAAATGTTCCCAAGTGATGATGTGTACTTACTGAGTCCTTATCATAGAATAATAATTTCAGTGTCCTATATTCTGATGGTATTACTTACATGACTGATTAAGGTAGTGGACGTCAGACTTCACTATAAGGTTTTTTTTTATGATTATAGTTACATTGTGAGAAAAAAGTTTCAAAGTAGATCTTGATTCTCATCAAACTCAACCTGTAGCCATATAGACTCATGATTTTCTTTTTTATTTAATTTGTTAAAAATCTGTTGTTCTCATTAACTTGGATGCTCAAAATTTTACATTCGGCCGGTGGAAGACCATTTATTTGTTTTTAGAGGTTTTTGCTGTAGGGCGCATGTTCTCACCAGAAAGACAGAGAGAGACAGAAAGCAAGAACTCACACCCCGGGGCGGGGATGGCCACGCCGCAGTCCCTTCTCCATTCTCCACTCGGGATCTTGGGCATGCATGCAGATGTACCCGGTGTGAGTTTAAGCCACCGGGTCCGGGACTTGAACCATGGTTAACTACATGGGAGTCCAGTGATGTAGCTATTATGCCATCTGCTTGTCCCTGGAAGACTATTCTTGGTAGCTGGCATGTTGCTATTATTATTTGAGTAATTTCTTACTCTGGCACAAAATATAACAAGTTTACTATGCTTCCTCTTCCCCAGCACGAGTATCAGCCATTGTTCCAAAGAGCCTGGGTTCTCTTTAGTGTAAAGCAGTATTTAAGATCTCAAATCTGTGTACTAGTGTGTAATTACTGTTGGTGTGTGCATGTGATGCATATATTTATGTCCATGTTTCTGTATGTATATATATTGAAAACCATACGTTAATACTTAAACTTTGACTTCTAATCCCATGGGATTCATTTTAGTTTTTTCCCTTTTAATATTTTCCACTTCCTTCAATAGCAGTGAAAAACCTGATCCCTATCATCTTTAATATCTTCAATCCCCTGTTGTAGGTCATCTATTCACACAAATGCCTTCCTCATCCTGCTCAGGCTCCAGCATCCTGTGTTGAGCAGGGATGTCCACTTATCATACATGGACCCCAACACTTCACTCGGGCACTATAGCCATCAGCCTAGGATACGCCTAGCTTGCTCATTTTACCCAATTTTAGGAATGAATTATTGGGAAAGAGGCTTATTTCTCATAGTCAGCTTCTCTTTTTGACTGAAAAAAAAAAAAAAAAGTTTTTCTATGAGTGACAGTCACAAGGTCTTTATGCTGAGATCCACAACTTAAGCTAGATCTAGATCATTGGCACATGCATGCTTATTGTGTTCTGAGAGGTCTCCAGACAGAAACCTGGACCCTTGTCCTGTGGGTCAGCCCCAGGGGGGTATTGCATTACTGCTGTACACTGTCCAGCCTCCGTGTTTTTTAAATGTTTTATATTTTGAAAAGGCAGTTAACTTTGGTATATAGTTTAGTAAATTTTAACATGTATAAGTATGTGTGACCACCTCCATAATCAGGATATCAAACAGTTCAGTCACCATTGAAAACTCCCTCCTGCTGTCTCTTTATAGTCAGATCCTACTCCAAGCTCTAATGCCCTGGAAACCACTGCTCTAGTCTCTGTCTCTATTGTTTTATCTTCTCAAGAATGTCATATAAATGGAATCTTATGTAATCTTTTTTTTTGGGGGGGGGAGAGATTTTCACTATAGGGCGCGTACATTCGCCAGACAGACAGAGAGAGACATAGAGACAAAAAGCGAGAAATCACCCCCCAGGGGGGATGGTCACATCGTAATCCCTTCTCTTCCATTCTCCTCTCGGGATCTTGGGCATTCACGCACACGCACCCGGCGTGAGTTTTAAGCTACCGGATCCGGGACATGAATCGCGGTCGACTACGTAGGAGTCCAGCAACATAGCCATTACGCTAACTGCTGGTTCCCTTATGTAATCTTTTTGTAATAACTGTTTTATGAGACAGAATTTACTTGCCATATGTTTTACTTATTTAAAGTTCACAATGAAGTTGATTTTAGTTTTATTTTGCATATATCTGCCTGTCAGCCAAGCATAAACTAATTCACTTTCCATCTCATAGATTGCCCTGTTTTGGACATTTCACTTTCATAGAATCATATGATATATGGTCTTTTGTGACTAGCTCTTTCATCTGGTTGAGTGTTTTAAAGGTTAATGCATGTTCTAGCATGTATCAGTATTTTATTTTTTATGTCTGAATAATCCATTATATGGCTGTTAACACATATTTTTTACCCATTTATATGCTGATGGACCTTTGGGTACTTCCACCTTTTGACTATGCCAAATAATGCTGCTATAAACCTTTATGTTCAAGTTTTTATGTGTGTATGTGTTTTTATTTCTTAGGAGCAGAATTTTTAAGTTATTTAGTAATTTCACATTTGTTTGCAGAACTGCCAGATTGTTTCTCAAATATACAGCATTGTACATTCCCACCAGCAATGTACACGTGTTCAGTTACTTTACATCCTTGTCCCCAGTTAATTAGCTGACTTTTTGCATCTAGTTATTCTAGTGGATAGGAAGTGGTATCTCTTCTTGCTTTTGTAGTTCCCTGATGACTATGTCAAGCATTCTTTCTTATGCTTATTGATCATTTGTGTATAGCACTTGGAGAAATACTTATTCAAATCTTTTGCCATTTTAAAATTGGGTGATCTTATTGTCGAGTAGTAAGAGTTCTTTATATATTCTGGGTACACGTTTCTGATCAGATAAATGATTTGTTAATAAGTTCTCTGGGTTCTTTTCATTTTTTTAATGGTGTGTTTTGAAGCACTAAATTTTAAATTTTGATTGAAGTCTACTTTATCATGCTATTGGATCTTGCTTTCTCTGTCATATCTA